GTATTCAGAATTTTTAATGAAAGAACTTATGTGATAATGAAGGCCGAAAAGTTAATGGTAAAGTACTGTAATGTCAAATATATGCTATGTAGATGATACTGCTCTTTTTACAGATAGTGAAGAGGCATTACTAAAACTTGTTAATAGGTTAGTGGAAAAGGTTGAAAAATATGGTTTAAGAGGTAGTAGGCAGCTATCAAATCGGGTGGTACTACCACCTAGAAAGATATTGGAAGCACTAGAATAACCCGTTATAGTACATCCTTCTTTCCTCACACAGCCAAACTGTGGAGTGCTTTGCCTTCCTCCATGTTTCCATACTTATACAATCTGTCTCACTTTAAAAAGCTGGTTTTCCGGCATCTTCGTGGTGTAGATTAACACAGTATAACCCTTTTCTTCTCTATTTGCAATTTCTTTCTGTTCTTATTTTTTCGCCCTCCGGGCCCCGTTGTGGATCGTTTGATCCGCGCCCAGGTGGGCTAATTCCTGTTAAAAAAAAAAAAAAAAAAAAAACCCTGCTGCCATACGGCATCACAAAAATTGTGACCAAGTCCCAGGTTCCTCATCTGACTTGACATACTGCCTTGTTTACACACAATTGAAGTGTCTCAATTGTTATTTTTACTTTGACAACACAACATTACTGTATATAATTTCTCACTCTTCATCAGTTTTATTTTTTTTTCATTTCTGTATTTATGGTCTATTTATTTATTCCCCCACCCCAAGCCTCGATGTGGGTCAGTGACCTGTTCCCGGGTGGGTCAAGATTGTCAACCAGAAGTTTCAACACTAGACAAGGCAGAGTGAAATTAAGCTAATAGCATTCAATTAAATAGTTATCAGTTTAGTATGGCAGTGGGTAGGTAAAATGAAGTGACATTTTTCTTATTATAATAATCATAATGAGACCTAAACACAGGTTAGAGCTTAACATAAGAATGCTTACTGAAATCATACAAGTACACGATTAAGTAAACACTTGTAAGAATGAAAGAAGGTGGTAATCTGCATATTGGCACTAAGAAACACTTAAGTAACAATAATAATTCACTTCAGTTCTAGTAAGATTCACTGGTATTGGCGACAGTCATAGAAATGTACAATTAAATGACAGTATGTAAGGTAAGATTGTCTCGTCACTGGGTGTTCGGTGTTTCACAGCACTGTTAAGGAAGCTCTTAAAAATCACTTACTACACATGGCATAACTAAGGCCTATACAAGACCCCTTAGATGAAGAAAAGGTAACGACTTTGCTTGCATAATGAACCGATACATTTTTGGACACACGAAGGACTCGTAGGTAGTAGTGCTGAAGAGATGATCAGTCCACCGAATACTGTATGGGTTTTTATAGTGAGCTAGGAAGGTGAGGGAGAGATTGCCACTTCTGGGTTGAATCTTCCCACCATAATGATCAAGCGATGTGCAGAGATAGGGGGGTGGAGTGGTAAGAGGTGTGGCCAGCCCAGTGGTGCCTTTCCACGCAGGTTTAAACTGCTATTAGAATTTTTCTCCAGCAATGTGAATGAGGATACTGTATCTTCATACGTAACAGGTGTTATAGGCGAATGCTTAGAGTAATCTACACTGACAGGAAAACAAATACTGTATAGAAGTACAGTGGTCCCTCGGTTAACGAGCGCCTCGGTTAACGAGCTGCCTCCCATAAGATTCTTAAATTCGGTTAACGAGCAATCCCTCGATTAACGAGTTTTTTACGAGCCGACTTCAACATGTTTTCACTTGCATTTGGCGGTCCACCAGCTGTAGTATTAGTCCGCCAATACAGTGACCCCTCGTTTAACGAACACCTCGGTTAACGTAATTTCGATTAACGAACTGCCTTCCATAAGGATCTTCAATTCGTTTAACGAAAAAAATTTCGCTTAACGAACTTCTTACGAACCGACCTCAACATGTTTTCGCTTGCACTGACAGGGCAACCAGCTTTAGTATCAGTCCGCCAATACATTAATCGGTTCTAGGGCTTAAATTCCTTACTATTTTTGTAAATATCAAGAAGTTTATACTATTCAATAATTTTAAAAGTTTAATATTCAATTTTTTAGTCATTTTAACAATTATTGAACAAAATTGAAGGTAAAGTGACTAGTTTAATGCGCGGCATCCAGCCTCTTTACACAGCAAACAGGCGTCAGTCTCTCTCTGTTTTCACTGGAGGTAACATCTTGCTTGAGACTCTCTTCAACTAAACGCTTTTTTTCTGTGTTTCCAAGCAAATTATTGGTCATTTTGAAATATATTTTATATATTGACAATATATAATGCAGTGCAGCGTTGATTTAAAGAAAATAATCTTGAATTAAACCAGAGAGCTAAAATTTTATGGGTGAAATGGCGCCATGGGTTGACTTCTCTTCCACCCCAATGCCTTCTCTTCTTCCTTCTCCTCCACCCCCATTCTAAATCCCATCATCATCATCATCATCCAGGAGCCTTCTACATACACACCTCAAAGTAAGTGAACTTTTCTACCATTTTTGTTGAATTTAGGAAATTTTCGGTGAGCTGGAACCAATTACCCAAAAACCCATTGAAACAATGGTTTCGGTTAACGACGTTCGGTTAACGAACGACCTTCTGGAGCAGTTGAGTTCGTTAACCGAGGGCCACTGCAATGTCGGTTTTAGGGCTTAAATTCCTTACTATTTTAGTAAATATCAAGAAGTTTATACTATTCAATAATTTTAAAAGTTTAATATTAACTTTTTTAGTCATTTTAACAATTATTGAACATAATTGAAGGTAAAGAAACTAGTTTCTGGCGTGCCATCCAGCCTGTTAACACACCAGACAGGCGTTAGTCTCTCTCTGTTTTCAGTGGAGGTAACATCTTGCTTGAGACTCTCTTCAACTAAACGCTTTTTTTCTGTGTTCCAAGCAAATTATTGGTCATTTTGAAATATATTTTACATATTGACAATATATAATGCAGTGCAGTGTTGATTTAAAGAAAATAATCTTGAAATACACCAAGAGAACTAAAATTTTATGGGTGAAATGGTGCCATGGGGTGACTTCTCTTCCACCCCAATGCCTTCTCTTCTCCCTTCTCCTCCACCCCTATTCTAATTCCCATCATCATCATCCAGGAGCCTCCTACATACACACCTCAAAGTAAGTGTACTTTTCTACCTTTTTTGTTGAATTTAGGCAATTTTCGGTGAGCTGGAACCAATTACCCAAAAACCCATTGAAACAATGGTTTCGGTTAACTAGTTTTTCGGTTAACGAGCAACCTGCTGGAACGGATTGTGCTCGTTAACCGAGGGACCACTGTAGCTACTAAGATGAGTAAAAACTTAATGAGAAATACCCAGTCCAGTAATCCATTGTTTTTTGCGGGAATTACGTTCCTGAAACCCCCGCGAAAAGCCAAAACCACGAATACTCTTTTAGGAATCACTGTACCTGTGGCCACCAAACAGCTCAGGTAGGTCATGCACTTAACCATGCCATGCTCTCCACTCGTGGCCCAGTGGTCACACTGATCACTGATGCACTGTACCAGCATTTACTATGTACTATCATTACACTATTTGAAACTAATCATATTGTAGTATAATAATGGAAAAACGTAACACAGTTATATACAAAAAAAAAAAAATTTTGCAAGTAAATAAGAAATTTTATATTTCGCTGAGGTCGGCAACACTCGCATTGCCAGCCTCTCCCTGCTGCATAGCTCATACCACCTCTGAGCTTGTCCAATAAAATTGTTTTTTCCGTTAAGGTCATCACTATTCTTGATCTCTTGGTCATTTTAGAGTCTTTGCTAGTAATATTTGCCTTTGATGAGGCTGGCTTACGTCCCGGAGCCATGTGGAATGCACGTGGGAGGACAAACAGAAGAGGTAATCACAGTAGCATTCACAGTATGGTAGGCACGTGTGGACTGAGGCTTCTCGGAGCAGCGGGTGGCATCTGTTTGCCGCACCGCACACGGGAATATCGAAAATGGCACGAAATTTTTATATTTGTTTTTAAAGGTTATTTTATATATACAGTCATGCGTCGCTTTATGTCCGATCGCACATACGTCTGTGGCCCATAAAAATAATAAGAAAATAATAGGGATAAAAAAAATCCGTTCAGACAACGGGATGTAGCAGACGTAAGTGGCCTTAGAGTGGGTGCACTCATGCATGCATCATGTGTTCTTAAACAAAATAGATTGTGCTGCCAGGCGTATGATGATACAGTACAGTAACTATAAATCCATAATATGTTTTGATAGATATGAGAAATGCCTATGTTACTGGTTTATGTTCTTAACCTCTGTGTTTCATTAGTTGTGTACGTTATCTAGTGAATTTAGTCAATATTGTACAGTACAAGTACACTGCAATATTCCACATGCACGTAAGTATAAATACAAAGTTCACAATGTGATGTTCGGACAACGTCCAATTCGGTTAACGTCACGTTTCCAAGAACGTATCTAGGACGTTAAGCGACGCATGACTGTATACTGTATATAATTTTTCATTAAAAAAAAAATTTAATGGTCAAAACACGATGACAAAAAACATGAAAAACATGTGATTACTGTACTTGAAATGTACAGAAAAATTCGATATTTGGTCATACTGTCTAGTTACACATTAAGGAATAATAACAGAATTATTAATGGACATAGTTGAGGGTAAGAGAGCCAGGGGAAGGCAGAGACTGGGATGGATGAATGAAATTAAAAACTGGGTTCCCAGAGAGATACAAAACCTTGGAGAATTGGTAAAAACCGCCTGATAATATCACGTTTAGAGTGGAGGACTGTGGTCGCCAAGACCTCAGATATGAGGACAGTACTCTGATTAGTTGATTGATTGGCCTTTTAGTAAATTCGATAAATATTTGTAAAGTATTGCTTTGTTGATACTGTATTCATTTTAAACTGGTTACATTATGACAATAAATTATGTTAATTCTTTTGAATTCATGAATAGTTTCTCACTTGATGACCCTTTTCAGTCAGTGTGAAGACTAGAATAGAAGTAACCACCAGTGTTGTACAGGAGCTTGCAAGATGGGTGAGGAGCGGGTAGCTAAATGGTACTTTGGAGGCATGGCGTCTTGTGGAGCTGCCTGCTGTACACATCCCCTTGATCTTCTAAAGGTCTGTTTCAAATGTGGCTCTAAATTATTTGTTTTTCACCATTGCTCTTGGGACCTATTTGTTAGCTACAGTATAACTTAATGCTGTAATACTTGTAAAAGGTTTCATCATAATAAGGTTTCAAGCCATGTTGTAACAGCAGAACTTGACAACCAATATTTAAGGATTACTGGTACGTATATGCAAAAGAGGGAAGTCATAACAGGATGAGAAGTTTAAGTACTGTACTGTACTGTACTTGCAGTATTGAAAAAAAAAACTGGATATTAAGCAGGTTTTGTCTACAGTTTGATTTGCAGTTTATAGATTACATAAAAATTATGTATACTTTTTTTTTTAACAGGTTCACCTTCAGACACAACAAGTGACTAAGATGGGAGGTGGTCAGATGGCTGTTCATATTGTTAAGGGTCAAGGATTCTTTGCCCTCTACAATGGTTTGTCTGCATCCCTTCTGAGACAGATCACATACTCAACAACACGTTTTGCCATTTATGAGGTAATGATTAAAGATTCTGTTCTGTTATTTCCTTTAGATAGTGTTTCTTAGTAAACTAATATTCTTACATACTTGGTTTTTAAGTACAGTATACTGTACTGTAGTTCTGTGTTGATGAGTATAGTAGCTACTGTATACTGTATGTGATATAGATTTAATTTCAAAGGTAGCAAAGTTTTATGGGAAAATTGTATTATAAAGTGAAAAAGATGAATGGGAGGGAGGAGGAGTAATGGCAGCAAAATACAATATAAAGGGAAAATGGTAATGGAAACAGGATAGATATAGAGTAGGCAGAAGGAATATTTTTAACATTTGATGGTATAGTAGATAATTATGAAAAAGAAACAAATTGTATATTAGGATTGGACAAAGGAAAAGAGAAACTGGCAATAGTGTAAGAAATATCAAGGAGGAGATAGAAATACAGTAAACAGTAAGGAGAAAATAATGAATATCCCACATTGGGAAAGTGTGAGATAAGTGGTCAGAGTATAATTGTTCCTTTGCACTGTATGAGGGGGAGTGGTAGTAAGGAATAATATGAAAACTAAAGAAGGTGCTTTGAAGTCCTGCATGTACAGTAATGCCTTATTCTCACTGTAAAAATTGGTTGATGATAAGAAGGTTATTCAGCCATAAAACGTGTTTCAAATTTACCTAATTGGCAACAAGGATACCATGCCATCAGGAAATCATGGCTAACACACACAAGCATAGAAAATGATCATATAATGGTGATGATTTATGGATGGAGTGGTAAGGAAAATAAAGATTATGGTGACTGAGACAGGATAGGTGCTGTTGGAGCTGAAAGGTTGGATGTAGACCACTGGTAACATGTCTTGGTACAAATGATATTGTACTTTTTGCATGAGGTGGTGAATTACCTTTGACAAATTTTGTGATAGAAGTAATTTGAAGGTACAGTAAATGAAGGAGTAAGGTATTGGTTAGTGAGAGGAAGGTTTTTGATATGTATTGTAGATTTTAGCAAGCTATGCATTATTAGAAAACTGAACACATTAAAATTCAAAAGTATGGTGAAGAATGAAATACTGGACAAAGTTCAAAAATTTCAGTTCAAGTATTTTCAAGTGATACTGAATGGGAGGATGATGACTTGAGAGCTAAGAAGATTCATCAAAGGAAGGAATGTAAGCATGGAGATAATGAAGAAACTCAAATACAGTAACAGTAAAATACTTCCTGCCTTGACTTAATGACAGTGGGCCATAGAATGCTCTCAATTTTAAGCTAATGAGAGGACCTACTTGAGGATTGCATCTTGAGTTCCCAGTATGGAAGGGGTGTGGAATAAAAAAGTGATGTACATAGGGTGTTTGGAATGGCAGAGAAAGCAGAAGGCATACTGTATGTTGTGGATTGGGTGGAGAGTTCTGTTAAGATGGTATGGACATGTGAGGATGATGTAGTAGACATGGTGAATGGGGACAATGTATTTTGGTGCATTTGGGTAGATGGAGATTACCTCTGATGTGGGTGGGAAGATTGAACAATTAATTAATGAGATAAGGAGAGGGAATATGGGTAATAGAAAGGATAAAGGGAAATGTAGTTCTAGGGTGATGATCTTCGGTCATGGTCAACCCATCAGTGAAGAGCTCTTTGGAAGAGTGTGTGTTGAGCCCCTTTGCTAGCCTTTTGGTGTTTTCAGTCCTGTGAGCACTAAACTGATCCCATTCTAGCAGTGAATTCTTTCATAGCAGGCCACCAGGATGCTTGCACCACACTTTATCCAACCATACCTTGACACCTTCTCCATCCATCCATCCCTTGGATTGTACAATGACATGAATTCCATTTGGCAGTTTTTCCTTCGGTAATGTTTTTCTCTTGAAAATTAACAGTGGCGGTAGTTTGGTCCCGTCGGCACAGCAAGCTAAAACTACCGTGTAGTGAGTCTTTTTGTGTCCAGTGGTTTTAACAATCACCGATTTCATCTCTTTTACATTTGCACTTGTATTAGATGGCACATCAAAAGTCAAAGGTACTTCATCCATATTCCCAATTTGACTGAGTTCGGGGCAACTCTGTTTTCTAACATAAATAATAAATTTATGGAAATCTAATATTTTCTCTTCGTATTCTGCAGGCATTTTCTGAGCTAACTTTGTTCTTGTTCGCAAACTTAAGCCATTTCGTTTCATGAAGCGAAAACACCAACAAGCAGTTCCTTTGAAGTCATCCACCCCTGTGTTTGCTGCAAACCTTCTTTCTTCCAAAATTATCATCTTCGTCATCACTGCCAAACCCAAGTTTCTTTGGTCTAATATCCATGTTTTCAAGTTTTCTTCTAAGTCTGGCCATTTTGCTGGCACTGTACGAAGATTATGCTCTGTTTATTCGCTTTTTTTAATTCTTCCTCCTGCTTCCTCCACTGGCAAATCATCTTCTCAGTAGGTGGTGGTCCGAAGTTTCTCTCTGTTGCCCTGTTTCCATGTTCTTTGGCATATCACACTACTTCAAGTTTAAATGCGATATATTTATGTCTCCTTGATACACCTGCCATAGATGAGGGAGATAATTTGCAGGAATGAAAATGGCTTGTGACACAATTGAAGGCCTGGTAGCGAATGAACAAAGTTCTAGACACTCAAGTACAGTACCGGTACGTTCTCAAATTTCGCGAGTTTTTAATTCAACATTTTTTATTTGGACACAAAAAAAAACTACATATTTTCAAATTTTGACGTCGGAAACTCGAATTTCGATGGGTTTGAGTGTGCATAATGAACAATACAATTAATTAATAATACGTATTATATTAAAACATACGAGGAGACGAGACGGCATTGTTTTCGTTAAGACTGCACATATGTAAGTCTGTAAGTGCGCACATGTAAAAGCATTGCGTCATCACTCTACATAAGAATATGAAAGCAACACTTATTTACTGGTTGGTAGAATTTTTGTTTTAAATTCAGAAACATTAATTAAAACATACTGTATATGAACAGTAAATAAGTGTTGCTTTCATATTCTTATGGAGAGTAATGACGCAATGATTTCACATGTGCTCACTTACATACGTGATCTCACTTTTTTTCTTTACCATTAATGGTGAGCTACTTTTATTGTTCCATTTATTAACATTAAATAACATTACTTAAAACAACCATATTATTTTTTTTTACATTAATTTTACTACAGCTGAACCAGGGTCTTATTTTCTTCAGTTTTATATGTAGAACCACTCAGTCACTGGTTTTTTAAACATAAACGAAAACAATGCCGTCTCGTCTTCTCGTGTGTTTTAATGTACTGTAATACGTATTATTAATGAATTGCATTGTTCATTTTTGCACACAAACATTAATTTAATCAAAAAGAAATTAAGTAATAAACAATGATTGTGCACATCTGAACGTTGGCGGGCCGCTCAAACCGTCAAATTTCGAGTTTCCGCCGTCAAAATTTGAAATTGTGTAGTGTTTTTTTTTTGTGTCCAAATAAAAAATGTCGAATTAAAAACTCACAAAATTTGAGGACTTACTGTAGGGTAAATAAGGCAAAATTTAGCCAAACATCGAAAGTACCAGACTCAAATTAATTTTCTCCATAGGAAGTTGTACTGTATTTAAATTTGGAAATTTGGATGATTTGAATTTTGCGAGGTTTTTACAGTCTAAATGGGTGCCCAAATATGAGAGCCTACGTATGAAGAAACAAACATTCCTGCATTTTGAGACCATCAGACAACCTTTTGCAATTCCTCAATAGATGGCGCTGCCGCACCACTACCATTAATAAACAAACCGCACAGCAGCAGCAAGGGTTGTGTAGCTGCAGCCATTTATTTTGTATTTTTTACCTACTGAGTAAGTAAATAATCGTATTTTTGCAGTATATCAACAATATTAGTTAAATTAATTGTTTTATAGTACTGTATAGAGAATACTTGTAATTGCTAAGTACTGTAAGGAGGTAACCGTCTTTGTAAGGGGCTGATTTCAAAAACCTCTGCTACAACTCATCGACTAGCGTCCTGGAAGACGCATGGTAATTTTCGAGGTATATTTTTTTAATAAAATGTGCGTCTTTCAAGCCGAAAAATACGGTATGTATCTTTTAAGTAATGCTATATAATGTTAATACAGTGGTCCCTCGGTTAACGAAATTTCGGTTGACGAATTAGCTCCCATAAGGATCTTCAATTCGGTTAACGAACAAAACTTCGATTAACGAAATCCTTACGAACATCACGTTTTGTTGTGAGCGTCACTGCCAATTCAGTAATCTTTTCTATGTTTACATTCGTTTCCAGTGGAGTAAATATCAAGAAAATTGTGCTCTTCAATATTTGTGCATTTTTTATATTAAAATTATTGGTCATTCTGAAATTTAGCCATCCAAGCTCTGTCTACAAAAAGTTTTTCAACTATTATTTTTGGCTCGATATATGTAACTTTATTCATTTATTGAAACTCATTTACATGCACACACTGTCCTAAGGGCAAAGCTGTACTGAACATGTAATCAAAAGAATGTACAAAATGATTACTAAAATTTTTGTCTCGTGCAAACTATCGCATGTTTACATTCAAATTAATCACTATCTTATAAGAATTCCAGCAATGTAAATTATATTCTCCCCGGTCACTTCTATGACATTTTATAAGCAAAAAACAAAAACTCAATCTTAAGGACATAAATAAACAAATAAATACTTCACTAGACCGTTGGCGCTAACTGTCAAACAAGTCACGTACATTTTAGTAATGTAAAGTTTTTCAACTGTATTTTTTGGTAGATTTACATAAATTAATCCATTTATTTTCATTCATATACATGCACACACCATACTAAAAGAAACGTAAAAGAAATAAATGACCTAAGTGCAAACCTGTACTGTACATTGTTACGCTGTCTCTTAATTTACTTAAATATCCAGGTTCTAGGCGTAACCAAACAAAAAAGTGAAGTAAATTAAAAGGGAATAAAAATAAATAAAGTAAACCTTTAAGAATTTAATTAAA